TTAAAAAAAATTATTTGCTTGCAAAAATTATTTAAACTTTAAAATTACTTAAAAAGTGAAGTGTCCCAAATAATTTGGCAACCCACTGTATATGGTTTGTAAAAAAATTGGTCTCAACAAAAAGTTTTTAACAAAATGTCTTCTCGACCTTTGATTGTGGCCTCTGTAAGCCTACCCAATACTTGTGGAACGCAGTTCTAATTGATAATATCATGGTTGTTTATAAGTTCAAACATTCTAATGAGATCGCTGTTTTCTCTTCTATTTGATAGATTTTGTAAGCCCATTTCTTTTAACCTTTGCTCGTAACTTGCTCCCTTTCTTTTGTAGCCAATTTTTGCGGCTTTTTGTTGGACTTTTTCGATAAAATTTATATCTTTATTAAAATATGAATTCCATATTTAAGATGCATATTCCAAGAAGTATTTGAAATTTTTGAAAATATTTTGAAAATTTAGAAAATAACTCAATTAGAAAAAAAAAAAAAAATTCATTCTACACAGTTTAATCTTGACATCTTATTTAACTGGAAAAAAAAAAGGCTAATCAGTTTTAATAAAGATAAATGTGATATCATGCAATTTGATCTAAAATAAAGTACACTTTAATATATATAATGCTACAGAAACAGATATCATTTTATTTTACAATAGTACAAGCTTCCTTCTTCCTACTTCCAATGAGATATTTTATTGATTGCTAGTAAAAATGATTGATAGATCAGTTCTCTTCATTGATACACTTAATAGCTTCAGCAGACTGAAAATCAGTGGCGAGTTTTAGAGTGGGCATGGGGGTAGTTGCCCCCGCCCCCCATTGGGATTGACTGTTATAGGTAATTGACTATTATAGGTAATTATACATATGAACTTATTTATTACACTAAAGTACAAAAAGTTAAAGAAAGTTACATTTAAGTGAAAAAATGCGGACCTTTTTTTTTAAAAACCATTTTAGCCACCTCCTTGGTGAGTGACAAAACCCACCCCTGGTGAAAATATTGAAGTTTGTATGAACAATATTACATATATTAGGAATAGTACAAGAACATACCGAGTATATAACAAAACCATCAGTAGGAGCAGGCATTTAAATTTAAGGCCTTAAGTAATCTGGATCAAGATACTAAATATGATATACTATATATACTGAATACAAGAAAGTTTATACATATTTTAAACAATATTAAATCTAAAGTTCCTAAACAACAGCAATAAGATTTACAACAACCTTATTGTTGGTTTAAATAAATGGAAACATATTAATATAAATGTTAAAATTTAATAAATGTTATATGACAAAACAAGTTAAATAACATGTTTGAAATAATAAACTAACTTTAAGATGTTTAAAACAGGCAAACAAGAAATGAAAATTAATTTGGATAACTCTTTAATGTTTTTTTTCTTTTAAAATCTATTGTTTAACTTTATCTACACAAAAAAGAAAAAAGAAATCTTACATCTCTAGTAAAATGACCAGTATGAGAACTTTTTGAAGGAAAGCAAACTGGAAACACTCTTTCCCTTACTACTTTATTCTTGACAAAGCATCTTTAATATGGTTTGAGAATTGCACTCTTCTAAATTTAGTATCCTCAGCAATCTAAAACAAAGTTTATTTTAAAAAGAATTAGCATGAATTAATTGATTATATTTTAAGTTGATGCATGTATTTCTTGAATAGTTAATATAGGACTGACTTAAATCTCATTTCAATAATATAAATTAAACAAACAATGAAATAAAACCTTAAAACTTGGGAACTTTTAAATTTTCTAAATTTTTATTTGAAAACTACAGTTAAATTTCTTGGTGACCAAGAAATTTAAATATAGCAAATAGATATATAGCAAATAATTTAAATATAGCAAATAAATATATAAATATAGCTTTTTGAAAAACTGTGATCTGATACCTATTAAGAAAATTAGACAAAAGAACAAAAATAAAAGGTTTAGACATATAATCATTAAATACAGGAGCTATTTAAGAAACAAATTGATAAAGAAAAACATATTATAATAATAAATGAATTTTATAAAATTCTTTAGAAGAGGCTTTTCTATCATTCCTGTGCATACAATCAAGCACTTTACATCTTAAAACCATAAAGGGAGTACCATTAAATGATATTGAATCATCTTATTTTGTGGTGTTTTGCAGAAGAATCTTTAAAGATAACAACAACAACAAACATTTTAAATAATAACTATACAAATATAAAAGAAAATTAAAATTTAGCAATTGCATTTTAAAAACACTTAATTAAAATTGTCATACCATATTTCCAGTTTTTAGCAGCACTAATAGTGCTGCTAAAGGAAAGGAAAGAAGGAAGTTGGGTTACTGTAGAAACATACGTTGAAGTACTTTTTTTGATACATAGCTACGAAACAGAGGCTGTATCAAAGTTTTCATGGCATGAAAACTTTGATACACTATAGCATGAATCATGCTATAGTGCCACTAAAGCATGAAAACTTTAATACAGCCTCTGTTTCGTAGCTATGTATCAAAAAAAGTACTTCAACGTATGTTTCTACAGTAACCCAATTTCCTTCTTGAGAAATAACAACTAAAAAAATTTAAACAGTAACAACCATACAAACGTGGAAATTGATACTTCATTTAAAGCGTGCTTGTAGAGGAAATTCCTTTTTAGACAAAATATTTTAAATTATGAATATAAAAAGCTTATATTATATTACTCGTTTAAAAACATTCGGAATGTTTTTAAATTTTTAAATTTCTCAGGGATGTCATTCCTGAGAAATGTTTTTAAACGAGTAGTAAAACAAACATCAACTTAAGCTTTTTATATTCAAAATTTAAAATATTTTGTCTAAAAAAGTTAAAATGTCTTGTATTACCTCTACTCAATGTTTTTTTTTCTAATAAATTTAAATTATTATTATTATCTATAATAATAATAATTTTTTTACCAATTTAAATTTAATCTTCGACGATAACCAGGTGAAAACGTGCTCCACATTTAAAGAATATTAATTATTTCATAAATTAAATTATAAATGCAAAAATTAATTATGTTAACTCTGTCCTGGACGTTAAGCGGGACAATTGCGGAACATTTTACGGGACCTAACTTTACGCTATTCACCGTTCCTAGCTCGACGTCACGAAATAATTAAGAGTTGTTTTGATTTCAAATCTGCCATTATGGAGGACAACTAAGTTAGCGGAACTAATATATTAATTATAATATTCATAGTTTTTTCAAAAAATAAAATATTTTATAAAATTTAATGTATAACCAGAATAAGAAAATATAAATCCTGATCTGATTTATTTAGTTATTATCATTTTTTTATTTTAAATTAAAGTTTAATATATAAATATGCAAATATTGTAATAATAAAATTATAATATGGTCAACTTTTGTGCTGTATTTGGATGTTCAAATCGTTCAAATCGTGAAAAGGGAAAATCTTTTTTTCGTTTACCAAAAGTAGCTTGCAATCAAGGCGATGATGGTAAGATTTTATCAAAAGAACGTAGACAAAAATGGATAAATGCCATAAACAGAGTTGGTAACTATCCTGATATCCTCCACACTCGAATTTGCAGTGATCATTTTATTACAGGTAGAATAAGCCTTTTTACCTTTGAAATATTTTTATTACTTTGAAAGTTTAATACTATTAACTGTTTAACATTTTTATTTTTTTATTTAGGAAAACCTGCTTCTCTTTTCTCACAGAATGATCCTGATTGGGTTCCATCCTTAAATATGGGGCATAATAAGTTTAAGTTTGAGGTTGAGAAACCTAGAGAAAGATACTTACGACACAAAAATCGTTCATTGTTAACAAGTCAAAATGATTCTATGTCTTGTATAAACAGCATCACTAATTTAAACCCTCCTGAAGATTCAATTGTAGATTTTCAAATAGAGAATTTTAAAAGTAGTGATTCGATTGTCTCAGAAAGTGTTATAATAGATTGTCAAAATTTAGTAGATGCGAGTGTTCAAACTGATATGACTGTCAAAAATATCAATCAAATAGAAACTGAGTTTATATATAAAAACAAACTTAATTATGATTTGCGTGCAAATTTAGTCAAACTCCATGTGGGAACTATTGAATGGTTTGATACCGATTCAAAAGTAACATTTTACACTGGATTGCCAAATTTGAAAATTTTATGTTGTTTATTTAACTTCTTAAAGCCTCTTATAACTGAAAATGAGAACTCAGTTTTATCGTACTTTGAAGAATTTTCTTTGACGCTTATGAGATTGCGTTTAAATCTATCTATTAGAGACCTTGCTTATAGATTTGAAACTTCAAAATCGACCTCATCAAAAGTATTTTTAAGATGGATTGACATTATGTATTTCAGAATGAAACATTTAATTAAATGGCCTGCTCGCAATGAGCTTATAGAAACTATGCCTTTATGCTTCAGAAAATATTTTGAAACAAAAGTGGCTGTGATAATTGATTGCTTTGAAATATTCATAAATAAACCATCTAATTTATGCGCAAGAGCAGCAACTTGGTCACAGTACAAACATCACAATACTGTTAAATTCTTAATAGGTGTAAGCCCACAAGGTGTGATAACATTTGTTTCTAAAGCTTGGGGAGGACGTGTTAGCGATAAATACCTAACAGAGCATTGTTCAATTTTAAAAAACATTCTTCCTGGAGATGTTATTTTAGCTGATAGAGGCTTTAACATTGCTGAGAGTGTTGGTTTTTATTGTGGGGAGCTAAAGATTCCAGGATTTACAAAAGGAAAGTTACAACTGACTTGTTCAGATGTAGAAACAACCCGGAAAATTGCCTCTGTTCGAGTACACGTTGAGAGAGTTATTGGATTGTTACGTAACAAATATAAAGTTCTGCAAAGTATTATGCCATTAGATTACTTATATACTAAAGATTCTGGATTATGCACAATAGACAAAATTGTTATTGTTTGTTCTTCTTTGATAAATATATGTGATTCAATTATTCCTGTGGAATAATTTTTAAAAATTTAACAGGATTGAATAATTAATTGAAACTAGATCTTATAAACAAAAATAAATATTAACAAATTAAGTATAAAATATTTTTATTAAAAGTTTACATTTTTATTACAATTTTATACAATAATCGTGATCATTAAAAACTTTGTTTTCTTTTTTAAAGTAGCTGTGTTCTATTAGTATAAATTTATTTTTATCTGATATTTCTTTCATTAATTGATTTTTTTGGCTGTAAAATTTGTTAATTAGTTCAGGTAAAATACATTCTTTAAAAAATTGTTTAGATTTTATTATATTCCTGTCCATAAATTCCAAATCCGGCAATATTCTTTCGCAATACGAATCTTTTGATGTCCAAATAAAAAAATCACAGTAGTTACTTGATGATGCATATAACTGACACTGAACTTGATAGTAATATTTATGTGATTTTTTTAAAGATATATAACCAGCTTTATTTTCCAGACAACAATTTTTAAAATCTAATAATTCGCTAATGTATTTATCTCTCATACTATATGGACATTTTATCTCCAGACAACTATTTCCACAACAATCACAGTTAATAACTACATCTGGTGATGCACCAAGGAAGGGTTGTTGAACTGAAATAAAAAACCCACAATTTTTTATTGAAAATTTAGAGTGTTTCTTTTCCATGGTTGTGGAATACAAAGTCAATGCTTTTTTTTCATGGTCATTTCCCCATTTTGTTGCTGCTGTGCAAAAACGTGCTTGAATGGGGTAACATACTTGCATAATCAAACTGATTGGTGGTTGGGTGATGTTTGCGCAGCACACACTCCCGAATTTTGAAGCAGTTATACGACCTGCCCTAAAGTAAAACCAGTTTTTACTTTTTGCTTGAAGTCGCGTTGTACTCTCAACATTTTTACTTTGCTCAATCGTTATTGTAATTTTTTTTTTTTTACAAGCAGCTAGGAGTTGTTCAAAGTTTAGAAATATATTTTTCTGATAAAGATCTGACAATGATTCAGGATATTTTTCTGTTATTATTGATGGTTGATAAGGTTTGGTAAACCCAGGAATAATTGAAAGAATAGCTGGTTTTGTTCCACATTGACTAAGGTCTAAAAAAAATTTATCAGTTTCATCTTTTGTTGGAATAGAAACACTTTTTCTATGTGCTATTTTTTTGTCATAGATTATGCCTTGAACTTTATTATTTAAATTGCATTGCAAAGATTTGGGTGATGTAAAATCAATATCTGAAACAGGCTTGAATTCTATCTTTTTAGAGCTTGGTAGTAACCAATAAGCTTTTTCATCAGTGCATGTTTTTGAATTTCTAATTTTAACTGCACACTCAATATGAAATAGTACCGCACCAACAAGTGAACAACTTTCTCCGAGACCAGCCATGCAATTGCAATGTGCACAAACTATATTTCCTGACTTCTCCGAAATAATCCATGGATGTAATGGTACATCATTCATTTTTTGAGAGTGTTTCACCTAAAAAAATTAGGACAAAAACTTAAAACAAAAAAGTTATTTCTATTTTAATATTGAACTAATAATTAAAATAACCTACTCTGCCATGAATAAGAACATATTTCTCAAATAATTTCACACCAGCGTTGATAACCCAACCTGATACAAATTGATTATAAGAATCAAGAGCTTTGTATGCTTTTAACTGATCCTTAGTAAGAGGACTTGGAGCAAATAAAAAATAGTTAACAATATCCGGATATGTAACATTTGGATAACTATCTATATTATCAGAGAAATCAGTATCTTTAAGAAGATATGGATCAACGTGGTTTATAAAGCTTATTTTTTCTAAGTATCTTTGCTTTGCATTAGAATCAAGCTTAGACAAATGTTCGCTTTCTGTTGACATCTCCGAACTATTTGTTTACGTTTGTTTGTCCTCCATAATGGCGGTAACGCATATTTACGTATAATTAGAATAAATTAATGACGAGGTAGGAACGGTGGATGGAATCATGTACTTACCTTGGGAACGATTATTTATATTTGCGTATTTTTAATTGCAAGGTAGATAAAAGCTTAAAAAGCAAGCGAGATAAAAATAATAGTTAAAATTTCGGCAAATCCGCGTTACTAGCATTGGCTATTCGAATATTATTAATTTTAACACCAAATATTTATTGTTGAGATTACAAAAAATATGAATAAATTTCTACAGTAAAAAAAATGTATTGTAGATACGCGGTATAATCCAATGCTAGTTACGCGGTTTTGCACTATTTCCGACAATTTTGTTTTCTAAATGACATTGAAGTGTTATTAAATTTACCTTAAATAACGGTGCTATTTAATAAAAATATAGAATAACAATAAACAAAACTAACAATGAACAATGTTTAAAAATGATTTAAGTACCAAAAATGCACTATATACTGCTTAAAATAACGATCTCTAATTTTAAATAAACTTTTTTAGGGTAAAACCATCAAATCATGGCCGCTTAATTTTAAACTGCTTCATGTTTCCGCGAATCGCTTAGATTCTTAAAAATATTTCTAAACTCTTAAAAAACCTCTTGAGATACAATTTATGACAAGTTTGGAAGTTTTTGTTAATAAGTTAACAAGTTTTAGCACAAATATTAGAAGGCGTGAAAAACATCAAATCATGGCCAGAGATCCAAAACATGGCCATTGGCCATGGCCATTAAGTTTTACAAAGTAAAAATAGTGATAATACTTTTAAATTTAAATTAAAAACAAAAGAAATTAATTGTAAAGAGTTTAAAAAAAGAAGTTCTGCATAAATTTTTACTCATATAAATTTAGTTCTTTTTTTAACAGGTAAACAAACAATAGATTTTAAAGCGCTTCACAACATTTAATGTTTTCAAATTAGCAAATGTCTTCAAATAAATAAAAAACGGCTTCGAGCCGTTTAAGTGCTTCGAGCGGGAACGAACCCGCAACCTTTGGTTGCTCTAACCACTGCACCACGGCTGCTAAAATCTAATAATAATCATTTCATTTATATCGTATCTACACTCTAAACCCGAATGGTTCTTCAAAAAATCTTTAAAGGTTCTTCGTGTTGACGCTGGTGGAGAACTCGTAGAGGTTCTTCAAAGAACCCTTTACGAAGGTTTTTCGGAAGAACCTTAAAATAAGGTTCTTTAAAGAACCCGTTATAGTTTTTTAACGAACCGTTCAATATTTTTGCATTATTACTTCGTTGCACGGATACTTTTTTGACTTCTTGAACATTTTTTATTATCTGATATTTATATAATATATAACTATTTAATAGATTTTTAATATTTAATTATAATTATTTAAGATATTTAAGCTAGTTACTTAAGGCCAATATAGAAATGCAAATAACGACTTTCCTAAGTATTTTACATATATTTCAAAATATGGCAATAAAGAAAAAAAAACTTTTTTTAAACAATTGATATAAATATTTTTAAAAAAATAACAAAAATAAATTTTATTTTACAATAGGTTTTCTAGTGTTAAATCCACTGTCCAATATATAAATGTTTTTGCTTGAAATTAGCTGTACGAATAAACGTAAGATTTCTGAAGTCGCATTCGTTTGAAGAATTATCTAAAATTCAATAATGGAATAAATATATATATATATATATATATATATATATATATATATATATACATATATATATATATATATATATATATATATATATACATATATATATATATATATATATATATATATATATATATATATATATATATATATATATATATATATATATATATATATATATATATATATATATATATATATATAGAGAGAGAGAGAGAGAGAGAGAGAGAGAGAGAAATAACACAATAGATAATATTGTACAATTCATTATTTGTAATGCAAATCAATTTTGAATAAAGATTTTTATATATATATATATATATATATATATATATATATATATATATATATATATATATATATATATATATATATATATATATATATATATATATGCTTGTAAGTCTTGTCCAAAAAAGGCTTGTTAAAGTGAAATTCGATCTCTTTTCGACCACGATGTTGAATGCACGATGGAGTGCAATTAGTAGATAAGATATCTATTGCAAAATGCTTAAATAATCAATTTTTTAAAACTTTTTCATCACCTGAAACTCAAATACAATTTATAAACACATTTCTTTTTTTCAAATTTCAAAGTATAAATATGAAGACAATCTTCAATGTAGGTTTGAGAACTTATGATTGTGCTCTCATTAAGTTAGTAGACAGAAAGGAGCCTGTTCGTTTAAACATCTCATATTCCATTTTGAGTCATATGACTTGCTGTCAGACAATCAATACAGTTTTCGATCCTCTCGCTCATCGATTTGCTATTTGGCTAACTACTGTGACTGAAAGATTGTGCATTAGATAAAGGCTGAGAGGCAAGGGCTATTGCTCTTGACATATCTACAGCGGTGGCCAAAAATTAAAGACCACTCATTTTTTAGTTGGTTTCTTAATATTTAAATCAAAATTAAGAAGATTCTAATTGACATATTAAATTTTTTTTTTTAATATCTTGTTAATCAAAACATACGGATTAAAATGGTATAATTTTTTTAATCTAATTCTAATTAAATAGCGTTTAACTTATTAAAAAACTGATGAGTACTTATAAACCTTCTTTAAATAAATTGGACAAAATTGAATGACCACTTTCAAATCTTTAATTTGCACTTATTAAAAATAATAATCGATTATTTTTTTTAAACTGTCTTAATTGCTTATTACGTTGGCTATAAAATAAAATGTCGAAACCTGAGTTTCGATATCAAATAAACATTTATTTTTTGAATTGCAATAAGGATATGAAAATATTGCAAAAATGCGTGCAAAGATCGAAGAAAAAGACGGATACGCGGCTCTTGTATTAAAAGAAGAAGGCTATAGCATCAGACAAATAGCAGAAAAGCTCGGAAGGTCTCACTCTTGCATTATTAACATAATTCAACGATACAAAGAGACCGGGTCAATTAATGATCGTTATAGAACTGGACGCAATAAAATTTCAAATGACCGTGATGTTCGCTCGTTAGTGAGATTAATGAAAGAAAACAGACAAGCATCATCTACAGACTTATCTACGAAATGGACACTGTCAAATGGTCTGAAAGCAAGCCCTAGAACTGTGCGAAGGGTCCTCTACAATTTAAATTATTTATGGCGTGCTGCTGCAAAAAAACCACGCTTAAATAAAAAACAAAAATTTGCCAGGAAAGAGTGGTGCAAACTACATAAAAATTGGTCAACAGATCAGCGGAGCCGTGTGGTCTTTAGTGATGAAATGAACGCGACCTTTTCTGTTGAGGTAGACAACAGAAAAGGTCGCGTTATGTTGCGTAGACTTCCAAGCAAACGGTTCGATGAATCATGCATTTTGAAACGAACAAAACAAGGCAGTGGTTCAATAGGCATTTGGGCCTGTATGAGTGCCTGTGGAGTTGGCGTTTTTCATTTATTCGATGGTAGACTCAACAAAGAAAGGTACATTGAAATTTTGGAAAACTCGCTTATTCCTAGCATTGATTTATGGCAGTTGCAAGATGGATTTATTTTCCAGCAAGATAATGCGCCGTGTCATAAAGCGCATGTTGTTAGCGATTGGTTCAATTCTAATAAAATTCAAGTGCTTCCATGGCCTGCCAATAGTCCAGACTTGAATCCAATAGAGAATTTATGGTTGTGGCTTGATCACAAGCTTGGTAAAGAACAACTTTACAATTTGGAAAATTTGAAATCTTCTATCTCTTATCATTTGAAAAATGTGCCTGATGAAGTAATCAAAACTTTAATGAATTCAATGCCAGAACGACTACAAGAGTGCTTGAAAACAAATGGAGGAACAACAAGTTTCTAAATTATTTTTTTAGTGCTTTTTGAAATTTTTTTGAAACTGGTCTTAAAATTTTGTCCAATTTTTTTTTCATTTTATATTTTTTACTAGTCAGTTTTTTAATTTTTTAACATTATTTTGTAAAAAAATTATAAATTCTTTTATAATAAATATAAAATACAATAAAAATTCTTTCTAAAAATGTTTTTCTTTTTTTGATACCTTTTTCCAAAATAAAATTATACTAAGGTTAAAAATAAAATTTGAAAAAAAAATGAGTGGTCTTTAATTTTGGCCACCGCTGTAAGGTTTTCAACAAAGTTTGGCATGTTAGTCTTCTCCATAAGCTTGATTCATATGGTGTATCTGGAAGAGTTTTTGAGATTATCAAATCGTTTCTTTGTAATGGCTTTATAAAGCTCATCATCAAAAGCCAACACTCTTATTCATTTCCAGTAACTTCTGGGGTACCTCAAGGTTTTATTCTTGGTCTTGTTTTGTTTCTAAATTATTCTATCTAAATTAATAATTTTTCCAGCAACATTACATATAAGGTAACTCTTTTTGCTGATGACTCAACTTATATACAACTGATATACTCCTGTCTTGACAAAAAGTCTTCTGTTTTAGATTGCTTAGAACAGGCAGCCAATCTTGAATCTGATCTCACTTCTTCGTGCTCATCATTTCATCTCTCCTGATTCCATTCTTCACCTCTAAGAAGAAAGAGCATCATAAGAAGAGCCAGCCCAAATATGACAACAGTTTTCCATACAGGGGCTAATAAGAGATTAGTCTTATTAGCCCCTGTATGGAAAACTGTTGTCATATTTGGGCTGGCTCTTCTTATGATGCTCTTTCTTTTCTAGATGAAAAATGCATTATAAATATAGTTGGACTTGGTCTATCTTCTAAGCTCAAGCCTCTTTCCCATCATCTTAAAGTTAGATCTTTCTCTTTTCTAAAAATACTATCATGGTCACTGCTCTAAGAAGCTTTTATCTCTAGTTCCATGTACTAAAACTCATTCTCGCTTGACTCTTCATTTAACAAAGCCTCATTCATTTTACTGTGTCTGTCCCTGCATGCTCCAAAAACTTATATTCGACTAGTTTT